ATATTTTGTAGGGTGTGGAACGGATTAATTCAATTCCCTTTATTTCTTATGGGAAAAATCGCTTCGACTTACGATCTGTCTCTGGGAACGGATTAGCATCGTAAGTCGAGGCCCCATTGTACATGATGTGCGCGGTTTCGGTTTTGTCACTGATATCATATATATATGATTTGCGAGGTTTAAGGGTTAACACAATTGACAGCCAATCATTAACACGGCAAACCTAACTACCGGTGTGCAAAGGGTCACAGGAGTTCCAACAGGATACTCTGATATTGATGATGCACAATAAATCAACAAAGACACTGTCAATGGGACAGGCAATAATTATGTCACAATAACTAAATGTGTGGTGTATGTGAAGCTCACGTTCACAGATGAGTGTAATGTTATGGTACTAGACAGATAAACACGCATACACAGTCAGGTGTGTTGGTCTCCACCTATACTTGTGTTAGGTATTGAGAAGGTGAGAACCCTCAGATCGACCCCTCAGATCAACATACAGACACAATAATACAGTAACAAGATCTTGTACTTATAGGTACGGCTACCATTCTTATTTGCTCACTCGTGCACATTTATGCAAGATCTCATAGGTGGCCTGACAGCTGGTTTCATTCGTTATGACGAGAACACTGATGACAGGCTTTTCCAAAACACTGCATTTGACACAGCGGGGTAGTCGCAGGACAGCGTGCTGTATATCTAAAAGACACGCACACATACACACCACCCTTGATGGCACTGGTGGTGAGTAAAGTGGTGACGAGCGCTGACGTCATGTAGTATAGTACAGTGAGGCAGGGTGGGTAGCGGCTTGAGGCTGCTACACCCTGTAGACTGAGTGGCGGCGGCAACGGCAGCTAAATTATTACACCATGCAGGTGCCTGTATACAAGTTCACACAAAGTTCTTAGGTGGCAGCACTTCTGAGTCACTCACAGACGATCTCAATTTGTCACCAGGGGTTACGTGATACCAGTCTGCTTTGCTCTGGTGATTCAGACTTTTGTCACTCTAGATGATTTCTAAACAATATATTCATGGCCGTGCTGCAATATCAAGCAGGCGAGTGCTGGTATATCAAGTAGAATGCAGAGTTTAACTTGACAGTGAAGGGAATGGACGGTGTGTTCTGTCTGTCGCCCAATAGACAGAAGGACACTTCAAAAACATATGGTTTTCCTCGCGAGAATGCTCTTGCAACGGATTGCAAGCTTCCTTGGGACACAAACACCAGGTCTAAAAGTGACCAATGGCGTTGCAACAAAGGTGCCGGAACCAATAATACTGATCGTTACATAATTGGTAGAAGAGTGACGTCATGAGCACGTCATGACTACATCACTGTTTTCATTGCGCCGGTTGAGATTGACCCCACAGGTCAGATATTATTTGTCACCTTGCTGGCGTCCCATCTCTACCACGTCTCGCACCTTCAAGCTGTTTACTTCCTCAAGCTGTTTACTTCCTGACTGTGGCATGAATGCTTAATTCCCCCAGTATATACTTTCTGCCTGGACATACGGAGGCCTCCGTATTATAAGTATTTCTGGTTATATGGGCCTCTTAATAACACCTAATATGACAGTTTCCATCCAGGGTTAACAGAGATAGGGCCCTGTGCACGACTAGGTGCACGGTGCACTGCAATGATCCATTCAATTCAGCTGTGGAAGAATCTCGAGAGACCATACTCTTACATCACCCCCCCCAACCAAAGAGCGAGATGCACAGAATGGCGACTCGTTCTAACCTCACACCGCTGACGCACGTGCACAATTGCACGGGTGTGGCTGGGTCGAGCGGATTGTTTTCTATACTGCTAGGTGAGGCGGGTCCTTGTCTAGACTATTCCCTTCTGTTAAGTGAGGAATTTCGTCTGTCACCGGGTCACCTGTGGCTATATTTTCAGGTCTCAAGCAGGCACTGTGGTTGGTCGTAGCTCCAGCTCTGGGTCGGTTCGACGCCTCGAAACCCTCAGTGGCACTAGTCACTCCATTGCCCCTCTCCACCTGTGTCATGCTTGTGACATCAGAAGCACATTGGGAACCAGTGTCCGGTGATTCGTTTTGCATTTCTTCGCTCATGTCTTCCTCATTCGATGTTTCGTTGATCACACCTGACCTACTCAACCCGTCAGCACTTATGTTGTCGGGTCCCTTTTTGTAAACCACGCGGAATGTGAACTGTTGAAGGAACAACACCCAGCGCATTATTCTAGGGTTTGCATTTTTTAGCATGCCAATGTGGCTGAGGGGTTGGCGATCTACTTGAACCGTGAAGTGTGTACCGTAGAGATATTGGTAGAATTTCCTTACTCCCACCACAGCAGCAAGGAGTTCCTTTTCTACAGTGGAGTACTTCTGCTCAGCATCGCTCAATTTACGACTGGAGTATGCAACTGGCCAGATTTCACCGTTGTACTCTTGCATGAGCACAGCACTAATACCTGTATTTGAGCCTTGAACTATATGTTTAACACATCTCTAACCCTGTCCATGGAGGACAGAAGAAAATGTATATATGCTGGTTAGCATTGTAAATGTGTGGCCACGTCTGTGGTAGAAAATAATAATAAAAAAAAAATGTATTTGAGGCATCTGTCCGTAGGATGTACTCCCTAGTAGAATCTGGTAGTCTATGGATGAATGCTTAAATTAAGTTCTTCTTAAGCGTCGAGAATGCAGAGTTCTCCATTTCTGTCCAACGTACTCTAACAGGTGCATTCTTCTTGGTTAGGTTAGTTAATGGAGTTGCTATGGACGTGAAATTGGGAATGAAAGTTCTAAAGTACCCTACAAGTCCCAGGAAGGACTTAACCTGAGTCTTGGTGGCGGCTTCACTGATCTTGGTGACCTTCTCAGGCAGCGGCCTGTTGTACCCTCCCCCTATCATGTGACCAAAGTACCTGACTTCCTTGCACAGCAACTCACACTTAGTGGGTTTTGCAACCATTCCTACTTCTTGTAGTCTTGCGAACACCTGACTGAGCAAGCTCAGATGTTCTTACCACATAGTAGAGTGGATGAGCACATCGTCCACAAACACTTCTACTCCAGTAATTTCTTCCCCAAGATCTTGCGCATAGCTCTGTTGAACACGGCAGGGGCGTTCACCAGTCCAAACGGGAGGACTGTGAACTGAATGAGACCTTCGCTTGTCATGAAGGCAGTGCAGCGCTCACTGTCTTCATCTAGTGGAATCTGCCAAAACCCTTTTATCGGATCAAGCTTAGAGAAATAACAACTAGAAGCAATTCTCTGTCTCATTTTGATTGAACATTGGTTCAGCATCAAACTCTATGATGGAGTTCAACTTCCTGAAGTCGAGGCAGATGCGCACACCTTCCCCAGGCTTCTTCACTAACACCATCGGGCTTGAGTAGGGCGAGGTCGACTTCTCTATTACTCCCGTGTTAATCATAGATCCCAGTTCTTTTCTCACCTGTGGTACAAGGTGATGAGGAACAGGATATGGTTTTATGCGTACCGCTTGCTGCTCTTGCAAAGGTATGCGACAACCCTCTACCTTTGCTACTTTAGTGACGTCAGAGAGTACCTCCTTGTACTTTGCTACAAGTCAAGTAATCTGGTCGACTTGATGTTCAGACAGGTGATCATCATCCTTAACATCTCGGTGTGTCTCCAGCTGTTGTTGATTGAAAAAACCCGGTTGACCTAACTCCTCATCGTCGCTTATCGCTGAGACACCGGCGATTGTTGCTGAGCGTAGTGGGTGGTCGATCAGTCCTGTCGATGTCGAGCCCCGTGGTCCTCTTCTGTCCGGAATCGCAGCCATGAATATATTAAGAAAATCGTCTAGTGACAGTCAGTGAATCACCAGAGCAAAACATACTGGTATCAGGTAACCCCTGGTGACAAATTGAGATCGTCTGTCAGTGGTCTAGAGTGAACCAAGTGCCGCCGCCTAAGTAATCTGTGTGAGACTTTACCACAATGTACCTGCATGGTACAATATAACAGTAGTCGCCACCACTCGCCCTGCCTCACTGTACTAAATGACGTTACAGCTATGAAAATAAGTTCCAGCTCCTCTGCTATGGAAAGAGAGAGAATAGAAAAACGGAAACCATGTATAAAACGGAATAAAATCACACTGTAAAATGAAAAAGTAATATAAAGGATCTAGGAGTAATCACATCTGAAGACCTTGCCTCTAAAGAATACAATACTAGATATCATGACTGGAAGAAAAATGACAGGTTGGATAATAAGACTTTCCAAACAAGGGATGCCATACCAATGATACTTTTCAAGACACTAGTGCTCTCTAGGGTGGAATGTTGTTGCACAATAACAGCACCATTCAGAGCTAGAGAAATTGCTGACCTAGAGAGTGTGCAAAAGATCCTTTCTTGCTAGAATCCACTCTATAATTAATCTACATTACAGGGACCGATCAAAATTTCTAAATCTGTATTTTCTAGAGCGCAGGCGAGAGATAAGAGAATAATCTGCACATGGAAAATATTAGAGGGGACTGGTCCCAAATCTGAACAGGGAGATTACATCACATGAAACCAGTAGGCGTTGTAGGATGTGCAAAGTAGCCCCATTGAAAAGCAGAGGTGCAATAGGTACGCTGAGAAAGAACTCTAAATATCACGGGCCCAAGACTCTTCAATGCTCTCCTGCTACACCTAAGGGGCATAACTTGCTGGACTCTTGTTCTCTTACAAGAGAGAACTCTATAAACACCTCAAAAGAATAAAGGATCAACCAGGCTGTGATTCATATGTCAGGCTGCGAGCAGCTGCATCCAACAGCCTGGTTGACCAGATGATCAACCGGGAGACCTGGTCGGAGAACGGGCTGTGGGGCATTTGATCCCCAGGTCTGTGACAATGTAGCCACATAGTAGTATTGTGGTGATTGCTTTGTATAATGTTGTGGTGATTAGGATATTATTGAGTACTGTATATTGCAGCTAAATAATTAATTTATATACTGTATGTGTATTTTTCTTGTTTAAAGTTATGGTGTGGAAGTAATGGAGGTGGCCAGCATGGAGTGGTGTTTAGTAGGACATGACTGGAGACGTTATGGCTCATTTAAGCACTGAGGACTGGGGTAGCCCTGCAGATGTCAACGTGCATCATCCTCGACTGCCTCCTGCCCAACAGTATCATCATCCCACTCACCTGCCATAGGGATGTCACGCTCAGCAAGCTTAAAAGTAAGTGCTGTACTGAGCACTATTGTACTTAGACGAGTTGAATTCACCAACACGGAGCAATGGAAACCTTGCATAAAAATTAGAGCAGTAGTCTTTAAATATTTTCCACACTAGCTAGTCCATTATCACATGCTCTCATGATACTTGTATTAATTTAAACCCATTAGTCAAGATACAGTACACTGCTTTAACCACTGCACTGCGCATAGTGTCTTAAGGCGCTCGTCTGGTGGTGAGCATAATGGCTTAAGGAGTTCGTAGGTCCTGTATATTAAAAGATTCAGAATTCCCATGCATACACAAGGCTTACATTCGCTTCCTCAGGCCTCTAGTAACCATCCCCCATCTTGAGAAAAAATATTTAGTGTCTCGCTTTCCTTTTAGTAAAAAGATGAGGACCATGTCTGGCACGTCCACCATCATCACGTCCTTCAGCTCCTGCAGATGTCTAACGTCAGGTACCTGTGTAAAAATGTCAACATACCTGCAGTATATGGCCGGTTTAAAGTTCATGTCGACTAAGACCTTTTGTTTGATGGTACCCATGTAGAAGTTCGCAAACAGGACACCTAGGGGAGAACCCATGGCGACCCTGTTTGCGAACTTCTACATGGGTACCATCGAACAGAAGGTCTTAGTCGACATGAACTTGAAACCGGCCATATACTGCAGGTATGTTGACATTTTTACACAGGTACCTGATGTTAGACATCTGCAGGAGCTGAAGGAGGCATTTGAGCGGAATTCTGTGTTGCATTTCACTTACAAGATGGAGTTGGATGGGAAGCTGCCCTTTCTAGATGTAATAGTCATGGAAAGGAGCGGAGGTTTCCACACTGCAGTCTACACTAAGGAAACAAACATAGGAATGTGCCTCAATGCCATCAGTGACTGCCCAGACAGGTACAAGAGGAGTGTTGTTAACACTTATGTCGACCGTGCTCTCAGCCACAGCTCAGGATGGAAGCAAGTCGATGAAGAACTCTGTAGGGTAAGGCAGGTCCTAGTCAACAACGGCTTCTCCAATGGTTTCGTTGAAGACATCGTAAGAAGGAAGGTGAAACGCCATGCAACCTCTCGAAGAGACAACTAACACAACACCTGTAACCCCTATTAGACTATTTTACAGGAACTTCTTTTCCACAGCTCATAAAACGGAGGAAAGGGTCCTGAAAGATATTGTTAATAGGAACGTTATCCCTACAGACAAAATTCAGAAGATACAATTGACGATTTACTATAAAACCAAAAAAACGGCCAACCTACTCATGAGAAACTCTCCAGACACAAAGCAGAACGCTTTAAAAGAGACCAATGTCGTGTATGCCTTCAAATGCCCACTTGGGGACTGTAAGCCTCAAAAATCTCGGTATATAGGCAAGACAACAACATCTCTTTCCAGGCGATTAACGATGCATATGCAACAGGGCTCCATTAAGGAACATATAATCTCTTCCCACAACCAGACCATCACCAGAGAAGTCTTAACAAAAAACACAGAAATCATTGATAGATACAGCGATAGCAGGCGGCTTGATATCTGCGATGCACTACACATCAAGAAGTCAACACCAGCAATCAACAGCCAATTAATGCACAACTATATTCTACCCACTTCAAGACTCCGCACCAATATAGAAGCATCAAGAAATATGGGCCAATAGGCCCTTTGTAGTTACTTCCATTCTTCCCTTTAACTTACCCAATATTATATCCATTGTTTCGTGTTCTGTATTGTGTTGAAAGTTTGTTTTCACCTCGTCCAAAACTGTTGTAACATTACCTCACCCAAATGCAGGTATATAAAATGAAAGCCATTTAAATAATAGCATAGTAGAACTCTGTTTAGTGTTTGCAGGTTATAGTTGTGTGTGTGTGTAAACTAAAGTCTTTGAAAATGTAATAAGTTATTACGAAATGCGTGCAAGTGTCGCGTCAGACTAGAAATAAAAATGAATTTTGGAGAATTGATTTTTCAATTACCATCGACAGTGAAAAGAAACATAAGAAATACTGTCTCCACTCGATCATCCGGACTATATGGGAAGGCCCCCTAGCCGGATTAGCACATTTTTCGGATAATGGTACTTTTTCACCTACGAGTCCAAAAGTGACCATTTCCAACTATTTTTATACTACAAATAACATAATTTGAATTGCCTTGCCACATATAATTATTAAATATTCAACTAGAAACCTCAACTTACCTTGTTGTTGTTCGTCTTCTTGATTGATGCCACACATCTTGAAGTTAAGAATTCTTAACACAACACTAAAATTAACACTTAAAATTACTGTACACTTCATTAAGCAAAGTTAATTTTGACTGCCAGCTGCTGAAGTCTCACTTGTTGAAGGCATTTGGGTTGCCTGTGAGGCCTCACTTGTTGAAGGCGCTTGGCTTGCCTGTGAGGCCTCGCTTGTTAAAGGTGCTTGGCTTGCCTGTGAAGTCTCACTTGTTGAAGGCATTTGGCTGCCTGTGATGCCTCACTGGTTGAACAACACGTAACTTGTCTTTAATTGCTAGGACAACCTTCTTCCTCTTAACACCTCCAGAACGATTGATGCTGCTACCAGACATAGTCTTGGCCAAAAATGTTCAAAGTTACTATGAAAATAAAAAAGTTATTTAAAAAAATATTTCACTAATTGCGCAGCACTGTGTATAACACGAGGGATGGACGCACATGGGTTGACCAGTGTTGGACGAGTCCACTTGGGGCAGCTATAGTATGTTACGTAGGCCGCCAGGAGGAAAAAAAACTCGATATTTTTTAAGGAAACTTCAGCCTGTGCACATTGCTTTAGGAAACTTATTTATTTGTTATTACATAATTACTAGTACTTATTTCATTTATTTTTGGCTATGATTAATTGTTCTAAAATTAATGGTAATTCCTGTACCCAGGTGGTCCCTCCCAACGCTCCCCTCCCACCGTCCCGACACCACCCACCCACCCCACCCCCTCCTCCACCATGCGTCTAGAGCCACAGACAGGATTAATACGGTATCGCCGAATTTTCATCCGGCCAAACCAGCTTTTATCCGGTTCCTGTGGCCATTTTGGCCGGATATTGTGGTAACTTTATCCGATCACGATTTTGGCCGTATAAGGGCGTTTTCCGGATATTTGAATCCGTGATAATCGCGGGGTTACAGTATTGAGAAAATTTGTTAGAATTATTAATCTTACTTTTTCGGTCATATTTAATAATATATGTTTACAAGAAAGACTGCTACCAAAATATACTAATACTGTATGTATGTATACGTATTAATATGTATATAATATGTATATGTTTGTATTAATATGTATATAATATGTATATGTATGTGTATGTAATAGTAGGCATCCTTCAGTCTCGGGAGACTATGGAGTTGCGCCCTAGTTGTCCTCTCCAGGGCGCAAAGCCTGGGTAGGTAGATATGGAGGAGAAGCTGTTACCCATGCAGCAGGTCCCCCCTCTCCACGTTGCTGAAATTATCCAATAGAAAGGCAAATGCCAATACGCATGGTTCCAGCAACGTCGCAGGAGCTGCCAGAACGAGGTAGACGTCAACAACGAACTGCCTTAGGGGCTCCAACTCCGGATTTTTCCTCGAGGTTGACTCCTGAAGCCTTTCCCAAAAAAGGGGTATGGCCGCAAGGCAGCGGAGGTTTAAAATCAGGGTTTTCCTTCCCCTAGATGGGCTGCCTTCCCAGGCTATCGAGTCCCGTCTACCCGGAGCAGCTGGTTTTAAGGCGCCAGAGGTACGCCCTCGCCCCTTCTCATGTCGGTAAAAGCAGTTCCGCCGGACTTGGACTAAGCCACCCGTGCAGGCCAGGAGTTGGACTTGGTTGTCAGAGGCTATTTGAGACGCATGCCGTATAGGAGCATTTTATAGGTCATGGGAGCTCGTCCCCCATTACCACCCCCTGGCTATGACAACCCATACATACAACTATGTGTATGTATGTACAGTATATGTATGTATATAATATGTATATATGTGTGTAATATGTGTGTAATATGTGTGTAATGTGTATAATATGTGTATAATGTGTGTAATGTGTATAATGTGTATAATGTGTATAATATGTATATAATATGTATATAATATGTATATAATATGTATATAATATTGTACTAGCTGTACCCGGCCACGCGTTGCTGTGGCTCGGCAACGCATGTACGTTACAGAGCCACAGCAACCTTCCCCTGTCGTCCAGGCCTACCAACCATTTCCCTTTCCTCCGTCCTATCGTCATCATGACCCTTCCCCTCTCCCCCCATCCCCTTGTCCTCCCTTTCATCCCCCACTCCATCGTATCCTCGTCCTCTGCACCATTCCCCACTACACCGTCCCATCATACTCCCCACCATCTCCCACTACTCAGTCCCCCCTACAATTCTTCCCTCCCTCGTCCTCCCTACCATTCTCCATTCCCTCGTCCCCACCATCCCCAACTCCCTCATCCCCTCGTCCTACCCACTATTACCCCCCTTCCCTGTCCCCTTGTCCTTCCCACCATTCCCTACTCCTGTCACCTCATCCTGCCCACTATTCCACACTCCCTCGTCTGATTAATTCCCAAATGATCTGATGTTCCCATTAAAAAATTGGGAACATCATATGATCTGATGTTCCCATCAATGAAAGATAAGAACAGTTAGACAAACAATGAAAAACAATGAAAACAAGTTAAAAACAATGAAAAAAACTATACGCACGAAATAAATGGTATGGTAAACAACACGGCTCAATTCCAACACAATATCACACAAAATAATTAAATCAAAATGAAAATATATTGAAATCAACCCAACATACCACGTACCCAAACAAACGACACACGCAAATGCCAACCCATGGTGGACAGGCCACCGAACTTTCATACCTCCTCTCTCTTCATACCCACATCCTTTTCCAGAATTTCACCTCCCCATCCCTCTACCTCCCCCCCATCATTTCCAGACCCTTTGGACATCAAATCCAAATCCAATCAAAATCTATGAAA